GGGTCTGTGCTGGCTCCTGAGTGTTCACACCTTGGAAAGTGGGTTGGCTGGGGTCTGTGCTGGCTCCCAAGTGTTCACACCTTGGAAAGCAGGTAGGGTGGGATCTATGCTGGCCCTCAGGTGTTTACACTTGGAAAGCAGGTCGGGTGGGGTCTGTGCTGGCTCCCGGGAGTTCACACCTTGGAAAGCTGCAGAGCTGACTTCGGGTTGTGCCCTTTCCAGTCCTCGCATCATCCCTCATCTACATAAAGCGTACGGGTGCAGGCCACACGTTGGAAAGCAGCACTTTGACATTGTCCCCTGGATTCTCACAGCCTCCCTCTCACAGGAGGGCACACGTGGACTGGGCCCTGAAAACGTCTGAGCTCTCTCTCCTGCGTGTGCTCCTGTGGAAGAAATTCGGCCTCCAAGTGCCCTCGGGAGAATGGAGATGCCCCAGTGCCGAGGCCAGAGCCAGTGCAAGAGGCCACAGAGGCCCTTTGACTCCTCCAGTGGGTTCCTGAAGCCACGTCCCTGCCCGTGGTGGAAGAAAGCTGAACTCTCACATCCACAGCCAGGCTGCCGTGCAGCTCAGGAAAAGGTGGGGTTTGCTGGCCTGACTGGCGGCCTCTGAATGTCCAGAGCCTTGTGGTGTCAGCTGGATGTTCAGAAACTCGCCTGCTTTGGGATAACACAGTGAGACCCTGGGGGCTGCGCCGCCTGAGATGATAATCTTGGGTTTGCAGGGGAGGTTTAAAGGCCTGCTGGGGTCAGCGGCTGCCTCTCCACCCTCGGAGAAGAGCAGCCTGCCCCACGCTGGCTTCCTGCGGGACGCAACCTGTATTTTCACCCTAAACAGAAGCTGTCTTGTACATCTGCTCGCCAGCATAGAAATGAGTTGTTTCCCCCAAGTTTATTTTAGTTAATGGATTGAACTGTTCTTTTTTTTTAAACTGCATTGCTTTGAAACATCGCTGGACTTTCTCAGTCTTCCTGTTACCACATTTTTGACATATTGTGATTGAAATGCTCTTTTAATGATGGTCAAAGCAGCTTCCAAACCCTCCTTCCCTGGCTAAGCTGCGAGGAAGGTGTGCAGGTGAGCTCCTGGTGTGCATGGGCCGCTCCCCGTTGAAATACGTGAAGGGAAGGAAACCTTTCGCTGTGCAGGTCACCAGCATTGAGCCGCTGTCCTCTGTCCTGCTGGGCATGGCCCACACTGCGCCAGCCCAGGCGCCCCAGCTTTCCATGACTGGGAGGAAACGCCGCGCTGCCCCACACAGATTTGAAATCTGCAATTTGGAAAACTGAACTCATCATCTTTGTTTTTTCCTCTTTTACTTTGCAATTCCTTCTTCTTCTTCGGTCAGCCACTCTCAAAATTTTGGAGTCATCATTGCTTCTTTCCTCTCTCTCCCCAGTTCAGTCCAAGGCCAAGTTCTGCAGTACCCAGAGGTGGCGTTATGAGCATCTCCTCGGTGCCTTGGCGTGACGGCTTCTCCTCTGCCATCCACCCTGGATGAGCCGAAGATGGTCCTTCTTCAGAGTCGCCCGTGACGCGCCGCTCCTGCCTCAGAAATACCCGCGACGCGCCTGTTCTTCCTCAGAAATACCTGCAACATGCCAGTCCTGCCTCGGAAATACCTGCAACGTGCCGGTCCTGCCTCGGAAATACGTCCACCATCACGCGATCTCGTGTTTATTGAAGGAAATCAGACTCAGCAGCAAACATGCTTCTGAGGCTCAGAAACGGACCCCTGGCCACTGTTCCGGTAAGTCTGCTCTGTGCTTCTGAACAGCATGGAAAAGGTTCATGAGGGAGGCACAGGCAGCCCTGTGGTTCCTTCCATCTGGGCATCCAAAGCCTGGGCAGCTCCAGGCAGTTTTAAGAGAGGCTGTTGATAGGCTTATTCCAAAGCAAACAGCACTACAGCCCCAACAGGCCAATGATAGCACTGTGCAGTGCCTGCAGGCCCCGGGGGCACACCCAGAAACTAGCCTGCCCCGGGGGCACACCCAGAAACTAGCCTGCCCTGGGGACAGGGGGCCTTGGGAGCACAGCCAGAGAGCTAGCCTGCCCCAGGACATGGGGCCCGGGAGACACATCCACAGAGCCAGCCTGCCCTGGGGACAGAGGGGGGCACAGTCACAGAGCCAGCCTGCCCCAGGACACGGGAGCCGGGGCCACAGCCACAGAGCCCAGCCTGCCCTGGGGACACAGGGAGGCACAGCCACAGAGCCCAGCCTGCCCCAGGATGTGGGACTTAGGGGGGCAC